CTTCACATTTGTTGTTATTTTGTATCTACGCTTATATCTCGATCCCATACTGAAAACTATCTGCCCTGATCCGATCGGACGTCAAGTCAAGACATGTATCAAGTTGCAACAAGATAGCTCTAAGACTAAGGGAGTTCAGTGTATTCAACGAATGGATGTACAAAATGGGGATAGACGACGGACAAACTGACAGACGGACATACGAACATTGCAATATCGATTCAATTTCAATTTGATGCTTTATTCAATTTATTTTTGCTCAATTTATGTTTGGGTTATGCAAAAAAAATAAAAATAAATAAATAAAAATAGTTTCCTTTAAATGATGATTCTAATTTTGAGCAGTTTTAATATGCGAGCGAACACTGTTGCTTATTAATCTGGCAAACACACACACACATACACGCACACACACAGAGAGAGAGGGACAGACAGACTTATGTACAAACACACGGGGCCGGCAAACCCATTCGTCGTCACCTTTTTGCCCTCAACATATTTGGATAATTTAACGCGCGCCGCTTGTAAATTTCACAGACACACACACACACACACAAGGAAGCAACTAAACCATGTTAAGCAAATAAACATGCCGACACATAAGCCAGTAAGAGTGACAGAGAAAGAGAAAGAGAGAGGGAAAGAATGGGAGAGAGAGAGAGAGAGAGAGAGAGTGAGAGAAAAAGAGCGACTGAGACACCCGCGGGGAAGGCAGCCAGTCAAATAAACGCCGTCAAATAAAGTTTTTCAGATAATTATGAGCCAGCAGGAGCAGCAGCAGCAGCAGCATCGTGTCTGTGTCTGTGTCTGTCTATTTGTATGTGAGTGTGTGTTAGTGTGTGTAGGTGTGAGTGTGTGTTGGGGCAAGTGTGTTTGTGCACACATAAACTTTTAATTAGCTACAAAGCGCCAACAAAAAATCAGACGATATTTTCTATGCGCCCCCTTCTATGGATAGCAAGAGCGAGCGAAAGACAGAGAGAGACAGAGAGAGCGATAGAGAGGGAGAGAGAGCGATAGAGAGCGAGAGAGAGAGTCTGAGACTGAGACTGAGAGAGCGAGCGCAACTTTGGCGCTCACAGTGCAACGCACACTCTCGCTCTCAGTGCTTGAATGGATGCTTGGATGCTGCAGACAACGGCAGCGACAGTGTTGTGGTGTAACCTTTTTACAACACACCACAGCAGCCCACTCATACACACACACACATACACACACAGAGAGAGAACTAATCAATATACAAACAAGCAAACGGCTGAGAGTGAGCAGTTCTTGCAGGCGTCAGTCGGCATTTTGGTTGGTTGTTTTTCAACACCTTTTTAAGCACATTTGTTGTTTGCTTTTGTACAGTAACTAAGAGTCGTTCGTTAATATCAATTTGCCGCTTAGCTTAGACGGCATTTGAGTTTGCAGCAATACCAATTGAAATGCCAACAATACCAATTCGAAATAAATGCTTCTCTCTGTAAATAAATGAAGACAATCTTAAAAATATATCACATGCATATATGCATTGCTTATGTACATCCAAATATATTGTATGTATATATATATATATATATATATATATATATGTATAGATGTATGTAATATATGGTTGTTTTCGTAGCCTTGCCCATTTGACCAAAAGCTTCCACCATTCAGAAAACTAATCGCCTTTTACTTTACACCGTCCCAACAACAGCAACAGCAACAGCAACAACAACACACGAAGCAAAAACAGCAACACTCTCAGCTTTGACTGTCGCGCAGCATTCTCATTGTCTTTTCTTCACCACGGCGACGCTGCTGCTGTAATTTTTCACACCACACACCACTGGCACATACACACACACACACAAGCATGCAGGCAGGCAAAGAAATGTTGTCACCTTTTACAGCAACAACAACACGACGACAGAGCGCACAATATACGCCATCTCGCTCGCGCTCACAGCGCGCACTGAGTGGGAGAGAGAGAGGAGTTGGCATAGCCGCCGCCATTGTGAGGTGTGGTGTTAACTAGCTGGCGCGTCGCTCTCTATAGCTGCTGTACGTCTCTGTGTGCGTGTGTGTGTGTGTGTCTGTTTGCGTGAGTGTGTGTGTTTGTGGTTAAACTTGTCACACAAGCTGAGCAGCAGCAGCAACAGCAACAACAACAACAACAATGATGAGAGTATGCAGTCGGGTAGCAAGTTCAACGTCGTCGTCGCTGTTCGTTGCGCTTGTCGTCTTTTTCTTGCGCACAAGCAGCGCCCATATTGCCAGCCAGCTCACACACTCACAGCTTGTGTGTGCTATTGTGTCTCTGTATGTGTGTTCGTATGTGTGTGTGTGTGTGGGGAAACGTGTGACAAAATACATTTGCGTTGCCGTTTTTGCTTTTTGGCGCCGCCGTCGCCGCTGCCAAAGCTTCTTTGTCTGCTGCTGCTGTCTGTATGCGTGAGTGTGTGTGTGTGTGTGTGTGTGTATGTGTGTGTATGTGTGTGTGTGTGTGTGTATTTGTGTGACTTCTGCTTGAGCTTTGCCTTTCATTTGCACGCCTTGTCTCTGGCCATCTCGCTTACACCAACGTCCACAGCCACTGGTCGTGTTTGCGCAAACTTTAGCGTCAAGTTTGTCACACGCGCTCCAGTCGACGCCAGTCGAGGCAAGTCGGCACCTACAGTCACAGTCAGTCCAGTTTAGTCCAGCTCTGCTTCTTCTTATTATTATTACTGCTTCAGCTCCTGCTCCTGCTCCTGCTCTTATTGTTGTTGTTCTTGTTGTTTTTGCTGCATGCTCTTCTTTTTTCAGTGTGCTTTTTCGCACTTGGTGCTTAGGCGACGGCTTTGTTGACGCCGTCGTCTACGACGCGCCATAAATCGTCGTATTTACAATTTTCGGACGCATAAAAGCTGCCAAAGCGGCTAACATGCGTTTTACCTCACCTCCACATCCAACTACACACCCACCCATAGCCCCAATCTCAACCACAACTCCAAACCCAGTTGTGCTGCCTCCAATTCGCTGATTCGCCTGATATTTGAGTTGATTTTGCCCTTGCTGCTATTTTGATGTCATAAGTCAAATTATAATTTAAGATTTTGTTAGCCAAAGAAGTATTTTTTAATTTTTTTGTACTTTTCAAAAAGAATAATAATAAAATGTACATGTATATATATATATATATATTATATTTGCTTGATCTTTGTTTTTCCTTCAAAAGCTTCCTGTGATCCTTTAAGCTTAAAGCATGGACTGCTCAAAAGCTCTGTTCTGATTTGCCCAACAGACTTGTGAAAAGCTCTTTTCTAATATGATCGCACTTCACATTCTGATCAGAAGAGGTAATCGGCTCGGGCTGCTTTCCTTCCTCCAGTTCCTGGCTACCAACCCCTAACCACTAACCCCTAACGGCATCTTTCAGGCGTTGTTTGCTTTATCTCTGCGTACGCGTTGCCTTCTATCGCATTTACTGTGCTTTGCTCACCTACACAGCAGCCTTCGGTCCTCAGCTCACCTCAGTTCACCTCACCTCCAAGTGAACCCCCCAAACCTCAGACCCCTCCACCAACTAACAACAAAACATTTGACCATTTTAAGTGCATTTTTCGCTTGCGCGTCATTTGTCAATTGCTGCTTTAATAGAAAAAAAAAAAAAAATGTGCTCCTTCCGTATATATGTACATATATATATATTTTTTGTAATTTGTTTATTTATTTATTTTTTGTGTGTGTGTTTTTTTTTTGCTTGGATTTACTACACACTCTCTTTTTTTCTGCTGCTGTCGCTCACATTTTGAGCCATTTTTCTGGCGCGCTGCACTTTTGGTGTCAGCTGCCTTGTTACTTCTAACACTGCTTGTCACACGCCTTGGACGCTGGCGTCGCTGCTGCTGGTTGGTTTGTCATAGTCGTGCTGTTGTTGTTGTGTGTCTGCACACACACACACACACACACATACACCGACACACACACAGGCACACACATGCAACACGCAAAGCGTCAACTCAACACTTTGGTTTTAGGTTTTCTTATTGGAACCCAAAAATCGAGTCGCGTTCTCTCAGTGTCTCAGTCTGCCCTGCTCTCACACCCAAACAAGCAGCCAGCCAGCAGGCGGGCAGGCAGCCACGACCCAATCGACTCACTCGCACGCCCAGCCGACCGACAAATTCAACACACATACACTGCTCTCTCTGGCTCGCTCGCTCTTACTCGTTTGCTACTCGCCAAAAAAGCGTCGGCAGAGCAGCCAGCAACAGCAGCCAGCAACAGCAGCAGCAGCAGCAGAAGCAGCAGCAGAAGCAGCGTCGTGTTTTGTCTTCGGGGTTGCGCTGCTTGCGTCCGTGTGTGTATTTCCCAGTTTGGAAGCGACCGGCGTGTAGTTCGTATCGGCGTCGTTGTCGTCGTTTGTGTTGCCACCGTTTGTATGTTGTCGTCGTGCCGTTGTCGTTTGCAACAGCAACATCAGCAGCAGCAACACCAACAGCAGCAACAGCAGCAACATCAAGCAGCAATTGCTTTATTTAGCCATTTTTTTTTATTTGTTTGTTTGTTGATCGAGCTGCATTTGTTACCACAATATTAACAATAGCAACTGGCAAACAAAAAAGAGCCATCTGTGAAAAGGCAAACGTCGAGTCGCGTCGCCGTCGCGTTGACGTTTTGCCGCCGCCAAAACAGCAAACAGCAACGCATTTTTTTGAGCAAGAATATTTTTTTTTTCGCTGAAGCAATAGCAATAACAAATCTGAAGGAAGCTTGTGACCAAAAGAATACATACATATATAATAATAATATTATTAATAATATTAATAATAATAATAATAATAATCATAAAGAAAGCAAAAGCAAAAAAAAAGAAAAACAAAAATATGACGTGCTGGTGTGTGTGTGTGTGAACAAATATTATTTGTAAAAACAACAACAACAACAACGACAAAATCGAATCTCTTAAAAACCAAAAGTACCTGCCGAACAACAACAACAACAACTGTAACAACAACAACAACTGTAACAACGACAAAAACAAAGTATCTCTATTTTTTTAGCAATCGTACACAGAATAAAAAATAAATTTTCCGCGTGACGCACATGTTGATGAAATTGTAATGTAATGAGATACGACGTTCAGGAGCTGCTACTTCATCAGTCTGCTGAGGATCCATTCGCCAGGTTCGCAAATGGGATGGCATATCATCCATTTCTGCAGCTCTCGCAAAGACCCACTGACTTCAGCGTCTCGTCGCTGTTGACGGCGGGTAGCAACAACAACAACAACAACAACAACAACAACAACAACAACAGCAGCAACAGCAACAACAGCAACACGAACAACAGCAGCAACAACACTAACAATAGCAACAACAACAACAACAACAGCAGCTCGGGAGCAGCAGCAGCAGCAGCTCAGGCGCTCAGCTCGCCAATCTCGGGCGGCGCCGGCAATTTTCGCAGTTCGCCGTCGCAGCTGTCGCCGCAGAGCAATCACAGCAGCCACAACAACAATAATAACAACAACAACAACAATAACAACAACAACAACAATAATAACAACAACAACAAGAATCACTTGAGCACCACCGAACCGCTGAGCGGGAGCCAGGCAACGACGCCCACAGCGACACCGCCTCCCGCTGGATCAGGATCTGGATCTGGATCAGGTACAGCAGCAGCAGCAGCGCCGCCGCCTTCGTCCTCATCATCGTCGTCTTTACCCGCGCATCATTCACCCAACGTAGTAGCACCGCAACCCGCACCGCCGCAAGCGCATCCAACAGCAACAGCACCACCGCCACCACACGGAGCGGGCTTGCATTCGCATCCGACGCATCCCCAGCAGCAGCATCCTCAGCAGCATTTAGGGCCGCAACAGCATCCGCCGCCGCCGTATTTTCCGGCCGCTGCACTCGCCGCCTTGGCCGGCAGTCCGGCGGGGCCCCATCATCCGGGCCTATACAGCGGCGGTTTGCGTTTTCCCCCACATCCGGCGCATCCGCACGCACATCATCCGCTGGGCACCGCCTACACCACCGCCGAGGACGTGGTGCTCGCTTCGGCTGTTGCCCATCAGCTGCATCCGGCGATGCGACCGCTTCGCGCCCTTCAGCCTGAGGACGATGGCGTCGTCGATGATCCGAAGGTCACGCTCGAGGGCAAGGATCTATGGGAGAAGTTCCACAAGCTCGGCACCGAAATGGTCATCACCAAAAGTGGCAGGTAAGCAAAATTGCTCCCATGCTAAATTAAAGACCAAGTCTATGGAATCTAATCAACCACATGACCACCCAAGACCCACGACAGTGAAATCCTCAAATGAACAGTGAAATCCCATTCTATAATGGCCTTCTCGGAGTTATGTTCCTTATGCTTCCTAAATCCTTTGGCATAACTGAATTCCTGCTTAGAACAAGAAACTCTGCGTTTGGGTTGTGATGAAAGTGAAAATCCTTTGGCCAGGCTATCATCAACAGGACAGTCTATGGAATATTATCTATTTAAGGAAAACACTGTTTAGATGGATTCTCCAGGTTAATTCTATGTAGTTATGACCGTTCCTTCAGGTGAGCGCCTTGTGCTTGGATGAATCTTATTACGCTGCTTACGCTGCTTGACCCCAACTTAAGGACGTTCAGTTTCAGCTCGATTTCATTGGAAAACACTTATCCTTAAGAGCTGAACTTGAAATACTTGCTAAGCTATTTATGCTTGACCGAAAATAACTTTCATCTTTTTGACCATTCGAATGTCTATCCCCATAAGCATCGCATTCTTTTCGCGAAGGTCAACACGATGCCACAGTAACAAGTGTGAATCCCTCTCCCTCACCTATCTCTCTCTCTCTCTCTCTCTTTCTATCTATGTCTATGTCTATGTCTCTCTCTCTCTCTCTGTCTGTCTGTCTGTCTCTGTCAGTGGTCGGTGTTCATCCTGCATCCCTGTAGCTAGAGCTTTCAATGCCATCTTGCTCGATGCGCGCTGATCCACTGGTAGCTACTTGAGCACGTGTGGCGTCTCAAGCATCTTCACTGGCTAATGTGGCACACTGTGCGAGACGATGTCTTCGGGAAAGTAGGTGAAAAACGCATTTTACAATCGCTATATACCGCCCTCCTCCTCCGCCCGCATCAAGACGAGCACTCACTGACACACTCACACCATCACTCGCAATATCCATAAGTTGTCAGGGCGTGTCATCAACATCATCCTCTCCAGACAACGCTTGGCTCAACGTTGACATTCAAGTTGCGTTCGCGCGTGAAAATGCGTTTTAAGATTCACACCTACTTGAAAACGAGGCATTCAAAGCCACTGAATGACTGACTGAGTGTGTATGACTCGGGCCACTTCTGAGTGCCGAGTACAAAATTTGTGTAGAGCACGCAATTAAATCAGTGAATACGAGTTAAAAAAAAAAAGGAAAAAAAAGCAAGAAGGAAAAAAACCAACATTTTAAAATGCATATAAAAGTGAGACTAAATTGTTGAAAAACTGTGAAGTATTCATATTCAAATTCGCATTTCGTTGTTCTAGTCCTAGCTGCATTTGTTAGTAAATGCTAGTAAATTCAATTGCAAATGAAATATTTCCATTCGTCAAAGGTAGATATTAAACACTTGTGCAATCGCTCATTCAAATTACAATTCAGGTGCGTGCAGGCAAGTCAGTGAATCTCTGGCTGGAATTATGGCTATTTCACTTGTTACAATCATTGACTATCATCACAGCTAACCCTTTCCCAGATAGGTGCTTACGAGTATATTCTTCACCAACTAAACCATTATAGTTGGACATAACGAGTGTATGTTATTCAAATGGTCGATATTCAACTGTGTTCAGCGCTTAAACTAGTTGATTAAAATAAGTGTGTGTGAATCAATTATCAAAATGCATGTTTTAATACCGTTTTTCACTTGTGCGTGGCTGCAATTCAACTGTGCAACATGCACTCACTTGACTAGCATTAGTGCATTCACTTATACACTCAACCATTCATTTCCACACAAAATCAATTAGATCATTTTTTGTTTGTTTGTTTGTTTTGTTTTTAGCTTTTGTTTTAAAGCTACAAATTTGTTCGACGCCTCGTTGGCGCTTAAATCCCTAAGTCGACCTCCCCAACCACCCCTCCCCCCCACCAACCACTCTCTCTCTCTCTCTCAGTTGCAGCACCACGTTGTCTTGGAAAAAAGAGGGTTTTTGGGTGATTTTTTGCAACGACGACAACAAAAACACTAGGCAAATATTTACAAAATAGTTTTGCAAAAACGTCGAAAACTTTCGAGTGCGGCGTCGTCTGCAACGCGTCTGGGGCACGCCCCGCGATGCCACGCCCAGCCGCACCACGCCCACCATTGACGCGCCCAAACAAAGAGGCGCAGCCTTTATGAATATATATGTAACTAGCATTTTCTCGCCCGCTGCGTCTGCAGAAAGTTTTGTTGTTTGCTTTGTGTTGCGATTGCTGTTGCTGCTGTTGTTGCTGCTGCACTGCAAACTGCAAGTTGCAAGTTGCAAGCCCATGCACTCACTATCTCGCTCGCACCCGTGGCACTTGTTAATCCTTAAGCTCATTAGCAGCCGGCGCTCAAGTGTGAAACTGAACCAAGTGGCCATCCATAAACATAACCACTCCACACAAAAATATGCTTGCAACCTCCGCACTGGCACCGGCACCGGCACCAGCAACGGCAACGGCAACGGCAACGGCAACGGCGCCGTCAGTTGGCAGCAGCAGTTGCAGTCCCGCTCCACATTTCCGGCTAACAAAAATTCCAACAGCGAGTGCTTTTTTTCGCACTCTCTGCAGTTCATTCGCCTGCAACCAACCCCCACAGCTCCCTGCCGCTACCCACCCACCCATCGCTCAGTTGTAATGAGTTTAGCATAACACTTGAAAACAGAGCTTTTATGGCGAGGGGGCAAAGGGCGGCCACACACACGCAGAAGCTGAATGCTGCGAAAGTGTTGCGCCTAACATGCAATTGTTGTATCAACAACTCTCTCTCTCTCTCTCTTCCTCTCCGTCTCTCTCTCTCTCACTCTCTCTCTCTCTCTCTCTCTCTCTGTCTCTTTCTCGCGCGCGCACTCTGCACTCATTCGAGTGGCTTGTAAAAGTTTTAAGTACTCATTCGTTTGTTCTACCGTACCGGTGCGCACACACTGCCACAGCTTGTGGCGGAGGCGCTTGCCACATGTGTAAGTTGCAACTTTTGTGCACGCCACACACATATGCGATGTTTTGTGTGTTTTTGTTGTTTTTTTGTTTTTTTTTTTTTGTTTGCTTGTTGTTGCCTGCTGGCATTGCATGCTAAAAACATTAAGACCTAGGAGCCATCCCCTTACCACCACCAAGCACCACCCAACGATGGCCCGAAACAAGTGCGAAAACTACAACAAATTATTATTATTATTATTGTTGTTGTTGTTGTTGTTGTTGCAACCATCATAATCAATGTCAAAACTATTGTTTTATTATTGCCAGCGGCAATAATTTTTCGCCAACTTAATATCCCCTTCCCACATGTCATTGTTGCAGACATCCGAGTGCTTTCAGCACTCACATTAAATGGTTGTTTTAATTGCAGTTTGCTGAATCAATTCGCATTGCACTCAAGCATCAAGATATCAGCATACTTCTGAGTACTAATTTGCTATCCAGCTACTGGTTACTCAAGCCTTATGATTTTTATTGGACTGAGTATCCACGCATAGAATATCGAGTACCCGAAATAAACTTGCTTTGTGAAACATATATCCTCAAATTGGTTTGTATTCACAGTATTCATTCAGGCGCCCGATCTGTTTAGCAAAAATAATATATTTATTACATAAGTGAAATGAACTCAATCACGAATAATTACTATAATGAATGTGAATATATCTATATATATTTATTGGAAAAGTATTCACAAAATATGGCTCATTTGGTTACACATTGATATTCCATATGATTTGAATATTCTTTATGCATTCTCCGAGATGTGCAATAAATGCCAAAAAGTGTCATTATTCATTTGATTTATGCGACTACGATTCGAAAATTCTGTCGAGTGCGTCGCACTCATCACCAGTACCAAGTTCCATCTTCATTTCTATCTGTATCTCTCTCGCTCTCTCTCTCTGTCTCTTTCTCTCTCTATCTTTCTCTGTGTGTGTGGAGAGTCAAAACCAATCACAAGACGGCAGCAAAGCACAGCTGATTCATTTGGTGGGAAGCGGGTACTCGCGACGACGGGCTGTCGACGGGCTGATTCAATTAGCGCAACGCATTTGAATCTCGTTATTCGTTATTCGAATTGCTCGCACTCGCATCGGCTCGGTCCCTGGACTGGGGTGCGACTCATCTGCAAACTGGCAAACTGGCGAACTGGCAAACTGGCAATCTGGCAAATTCGCAGCTCGCAACTGCGCGACAAAATGTCGCTGGCAATTAAATTGCCAAAGCGATTTGCGTGAAATGTTGTTGCTGCTGGCTGCTGGCTGCTGCTGCTGCTGTTGCTCTTGTTTTACTTGTTGTTGTTGCCGTTTGTGACTTATCAATTAATTGAAATTGCTGCCTAGGCGCAAATAAATAAAGCGATTTCTCGACTTTCGACTTTTCGACTCTTCGACTCGCCTCGCACGCCTTCTTCTTCTTCATCGTCTTCTCCTGCCTCTGCCTATGCCTCTGCCTCTGCCTCTGCTTCATCGTCTGCCCAATTCACTTGACGACACTTTGCCGCGTGAAAGTGCAGCTCTTATCAAAAGTTTGTCGCAGATTAAACACCCTTCCAAATCTATTATTTATAGCACATACTTCAAAGCAATCTATTATTACCATGAATATTATATTCTGAAACTGATTTATCATAAAGATGATATCAATCTGATATCGAAAATGTTGCATAAGCATTGCAGATAATCTAGTTATTACTAATAGTACGGTAAGGAATTATTTTTCCCGAATTTCGTTGGTTTTGGGTCGATCTTATTTAGTTAATATTTAAAGGCCTCACATTGAATCTTCTTTCCATTCAAATTGAAACAATTAAATATACTTTAAGTGGCAAGGAGTGTTCATCTAATATATCGTATATGCGTTCCATATCTTCTGACAATATTATAATGCTCAGTCCCCCCAATTCTCTCCGTAGGTCATACAAAGTGTTGGCAATAAAGATTCGTGCACTGGCTGAAACGCTTTGATTTGCGCCTTCAGATTTTAATGGAAAATGACG